CCTTTTCTGTTTTTGCATCAGGATGTGCTTCCCAGCCTTCAACCCAAAGCAGTCTGTTTTCTAATCACATAGTTTCAGACTAATAGAAATTTTTGTGTTCTTCATTCATAGCCTGTAACTGTCACTGCTGTGCTGTCCTGCACGTTCTTACTCGATGTAATGCGTTCATAGGAGCCTTTGCAATAAATTGAGTGTGCTAAGGAAACTGCATGGTTCAGAGACAGAAAGTTCTAACCCCATTTCTTGCACGTGTAATGACTATGATGCAGAGCTTTCTGAAATATCTTGGAACATACATTAGCGACTTACTAACTAAAACTTGTTTATGCTTTAGTAATACAATGTTTTGCTTTGTCTGCTTATTGCTCACCAATGGACCACTGATCTCTAGTCTTCTCCATTCTTGTAAAACTAGCTCATTACCAGCAGTAGGTATGTTGCTTAACTGTTGTGAACATAAACTGTAATTGATACTACTGCTGATTTAGGCTGGGATTAATATGCAAGTAGGATAAAAATGCTTTCAGAAATGAGGAAGAGAAAAGGAGACTTTTGAAGCAGTCAGCCTACATTTTGATGCTATGTCTGTGTAAAGCTACCTAGTTTTTAGCAGTGTGGGAGACATGCCTGGTTCTAACATTTTTGTTAGGGAAGGTACAGATTTGGAAAGGTGGAAAACATTGGTCTTACTGTGGCAGTACCTAATTCTTCAGAATCCTGTTGTCACACTGCAGAAGAACCATGGGTGCCGTCGAGTATTCTAGCAGCTGACTTTTGACACTGTAATATGTACTGCTCCTCAGGTATGGTCAAAAAGGAGATTCAAGCAAGCATCACTGTTTTACTAAATCACATTTTGACAGTCAGAAATGTCAGAGGCTTAGGAGACAATTTGAGGTCTTGAAATAAGTGAAGCCCTGGTGAAGTATTTGTCACACTTGCTGTGAAAAGAAGCCTGGAAAGGAGCCACAAGAACTTTTTTATCTTAAATAAGGTTCAGGCTTTTAAAGTGAGTTCTTCAACTCTCAATAGGCAGCGTAAACATTTTCTTTGATCCACAAACATTTCAATGGTATTAAGCAATGTGTCTTTACAGACTTTCTAAAGTGTTAAATAAAGGTGTTTCCTAAACTGATTGGACTAAAATGGTAGGATTACACAAGTTAAGTTTGAAAAGCTAGTTTGTCTTTTTGTGAAAACACTGAAGTAGATTTTAGTACAAGACTGTAAAACCACTGTGGAAGCTGGAAGTATGTTTCTGAAACTCAAATTGTTTCAAAGGCTCATCCCCTCACTGTCACATGTGGTATGTGTTTGTCACCATCCCACAAACCACTTCTGTCACGCAGTGAATAAGCAGAATTAAACTCAAGCTTTTCTAATGAGAATGGAACTTAAGGCCCTGTGAATGTAGTTCTGTAAGTGTGATGAATCATGAATTTACACTTAACTTTTTGACCATTTTGTTCTTAAAAGAATATATAAAGGGAAACTTTTGTGGCACCAGAATAGCAGTTCCAGTGAGTATGCAAGTGTCACGGAAGTGTCCACTGTTATCTGCAGAGGCACCAGGCTGGATCTCTAATGTCCCTGCTGTTGGCATCCAAATTTCTTCTGGGAAGCGATTTGACAGTTGACTGACTTAACCCAAATGAGTGCTGCTTTGTACTGCAGACAGTTGTTTATTATTAATTAGCCTGAAACTGGACTGTGACGGATCTTACTGCCTATCTTGTCATCAGCTTACAATATTCTGAACAAAATTCTTTCTTCTTCTGCCTTTTCATTCCCCCTGTTCTGCTCTCGAGTACATTCTCCTCCTCCTGGTCTCTCTAGGCTGTAACCTAGGAGGCACTGAATCTCTCGCACCCTGCACAGGCTTTGCGCGCACATCGCAGTAGCTTTCTGGAGACATTTTCTGTTGCATGTAAGGCAAAATCTTCTACTGAGTCTTGTACTTCTCCATTCCTATGGTAGTTTGTTCAAAACTCAGTTTTTAGAATTCTTTCCTTACTGTTTAGTCAATTCTTTCTCTTCCAAAGCATGAAGTAGATATTAATCTATGTAGCAGATAGTACTGCAAATCATACAGAGTACTACTTACTCTTTTTGATTGATCTCAGGGCTGTACTTACATATCTTCTATTACCCATGTCACAGAACAGCTGACAAACTTGCATTAAAAGCATGGATCCTAAAGTATTTTAGGAACACATGTGTTAAAATCAACCTGTATTTCATTTCCAGTCTTTGCCTTGGAGCTGGGCTATGCTAATTCTACATCCAGTCTGTTTAGCAGCCTGTACAGCTGCTAATCATGCAGAGGAGAAGGCTGTGCTGCATTCTCATAGCATCATTTTCTAGAAAGTGGAAGTTGGTACTAGTCTCTCCAGCCTTTTTGGCTTATGCTAGGTCCAAGTTGTACCTGTGTTTTTTCTTGAATGCCTTTAAAATGGACTAAAGCAAAAAGGATTCTCTTCTTAGGGTGCTTTTTGATAGCTAACTTTTTTCTTGTATCGCTTCCTCAAGTGTATCCTTTCTCATGTAAAATAGTTTCTGCTTCTACTCATGGTTTTTAGAGAGAATTTTTTCTCTAAACTTCATTCTGGTACTTTTTCTAAGCAGAGTCATGGCATTTATCCCATAAAATCAGACAGATGGGGAAAAAAACCTCAAAAAACTCAGGCTGAGATGGGGAACAATATGTAAAATCATACTAGTGACTGTGCTTGGAAAGTATCATTATTTCTCTTTGCCTTCCCCTTCCCCCCCCGGCCCCTGCTCATCCCTGCCCCAGATTGGAGACTTACAGCCCATTTCAGACTGTTTCTCAGTCTTGCAATTCTTAGCTGATATAGCTAAATTATGTGTATTTAATTTGCCATTTCTAGACTCCTGGTTGTGTCGAGTCGTAGCACAGGCAGCGTTTTATGTTTTGGTACAGGTAAGAGGGGTGTTACATAGGACAATACATCTCCCACGTGCAGTGTTATTATGTCTGTACCATGTCACGAAGCAGATTTCTCTGCCTGCTGCGTATACAGGTTTTGTTGTGAGTTTGTTTTTAGTGTTGCAAAGATGAGTCTTCCTGGAAGCTTCCTGTAACTGTTTCTATGTCTTTTCAAGAATTGAAACTTCCTATTCTTCATTGTAGCAATGTTTTCAATAATGTATTTAGCACTTCAGTCACTGTGTGGTCAGAGACTTGCTATCCCATCTCCAATATTTACCTTTTTTTCTTAATTTGAAAAACTGGCAATGTTAGTCTCAGCAGTGCACTTTAAGGAAAAAAAAAAAACAAAAACCAACCCAAAACCCTGTGTTCTAATTCAGTTACTCATTTTAGTGTTCAGTGATTTCATCTGTGATAAAGTCCTTGAAGAAGAGAAAAAAAAAACGTTTGAAAACTGGCACATCTCAATTTGCTTTTTTATTTCATTTTGCCATATTTTTTTTGCTCTGTAAATGCCACTTTTATGGATTCTTAGATACATATTATTTAACAAAATTAATGCAAAGTTTTATCTATATTTGCGTATAAAATTTACTGTTTTTTCACTGTATTCAGACAAATTTTATGAAAATGTCTTTCTGCATGTAGCAGAAATACTATATTTTGTGTGGTTTTTCTTTTCCTTTTTTGCTGGAAGAATTATTGGAGGACTTGAGTTGCCTATTCATTTTTTCCTTCTTTTTTTTAAGAATTGAAGTGTGCAGTGAGTCTCTCAAGTGCTTTAGCAGTTTTAGAAGAAATCAAGAATAAAATTGTCTTTCCAGCCAGATCATGTTATGTATAATGTCCTCCTACCTGTATCTTGTTGAATAGTTTGTGATAAACAAGATTTATATTTTTAAATAGCAACCAGCCTTCCCCATTCTCCTCCTTCCTCAGGAGAAAGAAAGCCATGAACATTTTGGGTCTTCAAGGATCATAATCAAGCATCAGAGATGGAAGGAGGGGGACATGAACAACCTCTGTCCTTCTGCCTGTGCAGAATGCCACTCAGTGGAAATACTGAACTTCTTTGAAGCTGTGTTTTCCCTTTTGCTCTCGATCGTCTTATGTACCACCACCATGTCAGTAGAATGGCTGGTTTTACAAGCACCCAGCTTTAGCTGGAAGCCAGAGTTAACTCTCAGAGTTCTTCAGGTTCCTTTTTAGAATCTAAAATAACAAGCACAGCTGGCTCCTCTTGTATTTTTTTTCTTTCCAAAGAGAATTTATACTCTTTTCTTTCCTCCTCAGTTTTAAGGTTGCAGAGGCCTAATTTGAGTGGGATGATAGAAGCTGTATTGCTCTTGTTATTTCCTGGGTTGCTGGAAGGCACGGGCTGGATTTTGTTGTTAGAGGTTTTGACTGTTTCAGATTTCTAGGATTTGAAATAGATTGAGGGGAAAAAATGACATATTGTTGTGAATACAGCAGACCTATCACTCATCTTAATTGCAGATACCTTGTACCTGAGAAGCAGGCACCTTCTTTCTCTGCATGTGCTTGAAACTCAGCAGGAGTTGGGTGTTAGGAGCTGATGCCTGTTAGAGTGAGAATTTGCTTTCTGTTCAGTTGTCAGTGTGTTGGAAGCCAGATGTATCAGAGCAAAGTACCAACTGCTAAGAGCTGTTCCTGAGCCAGCCTGCTCTGTGCTCTTCCTCCAGGTATTCTGAGCAATAACAGATTTTTCTGTTTCTCACAGGTATTCTTAATGCAGTTGTTACTCCCTGAAAGGGCAGTGCATTTCCTAATTAAAATATAGCTGCATTCCCTACTGCTGCTATAATGGCTTTTCCAAAGTTCCATGTCTCATGATGTAAAGAGCTGATTTCAACCTGGTTGTAAACTGCTGCTGAGCTAAAAGTACTGGGTAGTTATATTTTTAAACTTCATAGTGAATATCATAAAAGGAGGGAAGAAGTAGTTTTGACTGATCTCATCAGTGAAGTTAATACCTACTGATGTTTCTGTTATCTTGGGATTTGAAAATGTAAATGTTTTATTTCAGAGGTTAAGAAGATTATCAACAAAATACAGAACAGAGAAGATCTACCCAACAGCCACTGGAGAAAAAGAAGAAAATGTTAAAAAGAATAGATACAAGGATATATTACCATGTAAGTCTGATTTATGTATTAACAGAAGAAAAAGGCAAAAGCTTGTAGTTATGAATGTATTTTGAATTTTACTATTTAGCTATTACTGAAAGGCAATATTAGAGATAACTTCATATTTTTTTTATTTTTGACTTGGAGGGCAAAGTAAGTGAACATATGTATATTTTATTAGGAGAGCTATCACCTAAAGATAAAATAAGTGCTAGGTCCCAAGCCCTATCAAGCTGACATTTTCATTTTAGCTTGGAATAGTCTAGAACTTTACTAGCCTAACTACTGTATTTTTCGTTAGGAACATGTTACTCATTTTAGAAAACAAAGACATGTCAGCATAAACTCTACATGAAATTTTAAGGAACTGTAATGAACCTGGCTTTGTGTCTTTGAAGTAAAATAGATCTTTTTTGCTTGCTTATATCCTGCAAACTGTCAAGAGAACTTTCAGTACTGGATTATCTTTGGCTTGTATTTTGCTAGAGCCTGTTTAATATGTGAACACAGAAAACAAGTTGGAACAGAATTTAAGCTTTAAAACCACCAAAGTGTGGATATAAGAGATCAGTGATCTGTAGTAACTAGGTTGCCTGTTACACGCTCCCTTTGTGTAGCTGATGAGGCTGTGTATTTCAGCAGCATGGACAGCTGACAGTGAGATTAAAGGACAGTCTTCTGACAAATGCCATTTTTCATATCCCAGAAGGTTAGCAACAGATACATTTTACTCTGCCTAGTTATCTCAGAAGTATTTGGAGTTTTATAACCAATTTGAAGTTGAAAATGGTCTTAAGCATCATTAGTTTTCATTTTCACAATGTGTTCTAGTAATAAACTCCAATGAATTACTGTGTGTTTCAGATTGTCATATACCTGTGTGCTCTGTTTTTCTAGTGCTGGAATTTTTACTGTTTATCAGCATTTGGAACAACACTTCCAGGAGTAAACTTTGCCCTAAAGCCAAAAGCCCTAGGTTATTTAACAAGGTGGGCATAGTGCTTGCTGCTGAAAGGAAGGAAAGGCACATGTATTCAAATTTTGTTGGAGAATATGTATATAACATACATCACATGTTGAAGAGTAGTGTGGTACTATGCTCAGCTGCAGCAAAATAGTTAAATATCACTGGGATTTTTGTGTTAGTTTGGGGTTTTTTTTTAATTAGCTGGAAGGAAATGTATTGAATGGATGGAGTGAAAAAGGGAGAAGTTGTTACTGTCATCTTATTAAGAGTTGTTCTACTCTTTCACCTGTGCCAGCATTTTGGTAGATCATGAACAATATAGCAAAATCTTGGTAGCACCTAGACTGAATTGATGAGACACTTAATAGCTAGTGCAGTAGTGAATGGCTGCAGCTGGAGTGCGGTAGACGTGCTTTTCTTACGTCTACATAAAAATAGAACTTAAGTCAGTGGGAACTGAAAGGGTACACAGATCACAGTGGGGGAACGTGAGCAAACCTCGAAGCTGACACTGAGGAAAACTGAATGTATATTTTCAGTTAAAAGGAGAATGTCTTCAAACAAAGTGATGGGAGACCAGCTTGACAGAAATGAAAGCCAGGAGATGTTTTGGAGGAGGAAGGAAGATGATACTTAGCTTATCTTTTATAATTCCAGATAATAATTTTAAAATGTAACTTCATTGGAGATTAGTGCTATATTTATCATAAATTGTTACTCCTACCAGAGGGAACAGTACCTCAATACTAACTCAATACTGGCTTCAGAGTCAAAGTGAACCTGGAACCTGCAGTGGAATTTTTCTTGGAGAATTCTATTCCAGATCTAAAACTCTGAAAGAGCTGAACTGTGGCAGATACAGGCAGGCTGGAAATGTTGACGTTTGGAAACTACTCTAGAATTTTGGATCTACTGTGCTAGGAAGATAGGAGCCCTCCTTAGCCTACCACTTTAATTAATCTGATCCACCATTTTAAAGTAGATTTTAGTATTAAGTCTGTGACACTATTGCATGCTTACAAAGTGTTCTTGCTTTTGCATCATATGTATGAGTGTAATCAGTGTCATATGTTTAAGGGTTTCTCTAGGCTTTTATGTGAGAGTGCATTGTCTTTAGATCTGTGATCTAAATGTCTTGTAATCTACACTTGTGCTTTTTTAGGAAGCATTACATGGTAACACAAACATTTTTTTCATGTTATCAAGACTCTGGCAGAAAATTTCACCATCTTGGAAGCAAGTATCTTGGAAGCTTTTTGAAGAGCTTTCTGTATTTTAGCCTGTACTACTTGTGGGCATAGTTCCCTGTTTTATTACCAGTGATATTCTGACAAAAAAACCCCAACCAACATATTTCGTCTTTTTAAATAAACTCATTCTTTCTATTTTTCGTTTAATTTAGCTCTAATAAAAGTTTTAGCAGCTGTTCTGTGGTTAAGGAATTGACCCTGGGAGCAGAAAATAACAGCAATGGCTCAAGCAGATGCTGTTTCTGCAGATTTCTGTTTCTACTTCCGTTCCCCAGTTCAAAGATATTTTTTTTTTTTTTTAATTTAGATTTCCAACTAAACCTCTATTGTAGAGATACTTTGAATTATTTTATGTGACAGCTAGGGAGTGTTAGTATCAACAAGAGTTGGACGGACTGGTGAACCTGCCAGTCACCTACCCTCCTTTGTAAGAATCATCAAGTTGTTTCTGTATTAAAGATGCACTTGATTTTTTTTTTTTTTTTCAATGCCAAAAAGAATTTCAAGCTGTTTAGTTTATTTTGTCAACAATTATTAAAGGCTGTTTTTAAGACTGCTAAGGATTTTGGTCTCCAAAGATCTGCTGGTTTTATAAGAAGCTTTCTCTGAGATAGTCAATAATGCTCGAGGCAGAAACTTGAAGTGTCAAAACTCCCTAAATGAACGAATCTGCTGCTTCTAGTTTAGAAGTGCCCCAGCAAAGTGCCCAGCCCAGTGTTTGGGGGATAGAAGGCAGTCTGTGCCTGAGCAATAAACCCCAGTGCATGTTCCGTGCTGTAATACTCGGAGTCCTCCCTGGCAGAGACTTTAAGACCTGCCAGCTGCTTTAACTGTGCACTGCTGTTTTATTCTTTCTTCTTTCTGTAGATGTGTCTTTAATTCTGACCATCATGATCTGTGTTAATATTGTGTAATTACAATTTTGATTACTTCCCATCAATTGAATTTTGCCTCTTTGTAATGAATTGCTCTTGGAATTCCAGTAGTTGGTACTCTGTAAACTTGAGCATCAGAAGCACATCTGCTTACCCATAAATTGAATTAACTGACTTGTTCGTGTGACTTATCTTTGGGAAACATTCTTTAATGCTTAATTTCTTCTATGTGTATAATATGTGCTGTATTTATTATATATACTGTTACATATTGATTTACATATGTTGTAATTCTTGTTTTTAAAATAAATAAATAAAATCTTCTTTTAGTTGATCATAGCCGGGTTAAGCTGACCTTGAAAACTCCCCCACAAGATTCAGACTACATCAATGCAAACTTTATTAAGGTGTGTATTACTATCTTAACAGTTCTTAAATTCTCTTTTAAGCTTTTATTTCATATCAGTGCATTTTGAATATTATTGTCTGAGACAAGAATTTAAAGCTCTGAGGGAAGATTTTCTTTTATTATGGCTTGAATAAATTTGCAAACATGATGCCATTTGTAAAGCAATATTTTATATTTTAATATTACTCTAAGTGTAAGTATAATATAAAATACTTAATTTTAAAGTGACAGGCAACAAAATTGAAATTTCATACCACAGGAAAATTCAGATACGATTGTTTTAACAGTTGATGGTGTTAAAAATACCAGATTTTGAGGGGCTGTTTTTTAGGGATCATACATTAGACATTCGACAAGTTGTGTATGTTAATATGCACTTACTGCTGTGCATGGCAGAAGTGTGGCAATGGAATTATATCTAACATTGTTAAAGATAGGCCAGAATTTGGCTAAAAGCCTGTTACACTGTTGTTTCATGTGTAAATATTCAAAGTGTGAATATTTTGGGCTTTCCTTGTAGCCTTATTCTGATGCTGCTTCTATAAAGAAATGGTTATTCAGAAACAAGTGATCCTAGAAATCTCACTTCTTTAATTTAGTTTTGCTTGAAAAGCTGAACGTAAATGTCTTCAAGCTTTATATAAAACAAATTTTAAAATTTTGGATTTTTGAAATGTGTTACTGCTGGGAGGGGGCAACTTAAATCTGTTCAAGGAGATGCTCTTAAGCAGAAAGACTTGCTAATTTTCATCGTTAAATGTTTGAGTAACAAAGAAAATGTAGACTTAAAGGGAATCTTCAGAATCTCAGCATACAGAAACTTAATATTTTCTGTTACAGTCTCTGGCAGCACAGTAGCTGTTATCACCTTGAGCCCCCTTGAAATCACCAGCAAAATTCCTACTAATTTAAATGGGACTCATTTCATATTCACCCTTCCTGTTGTAGTAAAAAAAACCCCAAACCTCTAATTTTACATAATTATAACATAAAGCCTTTTTTATTCAGTGCAGATAAATTTTCTTTATAAACATTAATGGTTCCTTTGTGTAATCCTAGGGAGTACATGGGCCAAAAGCGTATGTTGCTACCCAGGGACCATTAGCAAATACAGTAATAGACTTCTGGAGGATGATATGGGAATACAATGTTGCCGTAAGTACCTGCTTAAAAAACAAAATTGGGTATCACCTTGTTTCATGGCACAATGCTTATGTGTCTTTTGCTTGAGCTGGGTATTGTTACCAGAATTTTGACACTGATTTAGTCCATTTACTTCTCAAATATGGTTTTTGTAGTTTAAATAGCATTCTATATTTAATTAATATTATTTGTTCACTTTAATAATATAAATTCAAAGTAATAATTTTATTGGATGAATATGAAATAATGTAAATTTATGAATAGGTTGGTGCCTGGTTACATCTATCCTGTAGGAGAACTTACAGCTCTGACTTAATGTGGACTGACAAAATCAGATACAGAAGCTGCATGTGAAACAAAAACCATAAAAGTCTACCTTTCTGTTTGTGCTAATTTTGAGTTATTTATTGGTTTGTTTTCTACATCTGTTTAAACAGTTATTGTCAGGAGTTAACTTTTAAGTGCTGTTAGATATGTAAATGGCTATATGTTTTTATGATTAAGTTTAGACTTCACAGTCAGGCTACATAAATAAATAAGCTATTTGTACAGGATTACAGTGAATTCAAATTAAGTAGCCTTAAGATGTTGTATTAGTGTTGTAGATTATATTGTGCAGGATAAAACTTGAGTACTGTTTCAGAATTAAAAGAGCATGCATCTCTGGGTAGGAAAATAGTATTAATTAGCCTCTTCAGTAGTCACCAGTTAAGGAGTATCAGTATCTGCCCAGATAGAAGCAAGCAGTAAAGTGTTGGTGAATTTACTTGATCTAAAACCAGCTAACTTTGAGCATCTATTTTTCTTTTTAGATAATTGTAATGGCCTGTCGAGAATTTGAAATGGGAAGGGTATGTATACTAAATACAAACCTAAATGAGCATTGCCCACGCTGGGCAATATACCAATACCTGTGGAGTTTCATATGCCAAATCATACCTGTAAAAATAATCTGCCAGATTGAATGAGAAAGCCTATCCTTATATTTGTATGCATAGAAAATAGTGAATTTGACTACTTTTCTTTGCTTCATTTATAGTGCTACGTTATTATTTAGGTGTCATCTCAGTGGAATACACACGTTTATATATAAAGAACTGCACCAATGGTCTGTTTCTGGTCATGTCACTATGGAAAAAAATCATGCTCTTTGGGGGATGTAGGCCAGCTATCAAAATCCTGAGTCCTTCTGAATTTCCTGTCAATTGATGCAGCTGCATAAGCAATCTATCTTTTAAATATCTCTGCTATATTCTTATGACCAGAGAAGGAAAAAACAAAATGTGGTCAAGAACTGTGAACTCCAGAATTTCACAAAAACTAAATTAGCTGTCATTGCTTCCGCGTGTATGATGCGTGCTTGCACATACTTAAGCAGTCGTTAAGTTCTTGTCCTAATTTACAAAAAAGTGTCTTTTGGCTGTATTTATTGGTCATCTCGGTTTTTTTGGTTTTGTTTTTCTTTTGGTATCCAAAAGAAAAGACATTTTACTGTCTTAAAAGAAGCCCAGCAAGGCACCAGTAGGCAGATGTTAAGGAAAAGCACCAAATGAGAGAGATTATGGCATTTGAGGTTATCATTTTGTCTGCTCTGCTTCTGTTAATCATCATCTTCCAGTACTACACATGAATTAAATTAGGATTCTTTCCTTTAACAGAAAAAATGTGAACGTTACTGGCCTCTGTATGGAGAAGCAGCTGTAACTTTTGGACCATTTCGTGTTTCTTGTGTAAGTATGAAGCTTTATAAATTAATTTCGAAGAATTTAATGCTTTTGTAACTTAAAATAAAGCTTTTTCAATTGTTTGGTACCAAATTTTACACAACGATTCTCAAAGGAATGGAAATGGAAAACAATGTGTGTGGTTTTTGAATCCTCCACAATTTTTTTCTTTTCTTTTTTTTTTAAGTACATAACCTGTGTACCTTGGTCTTGTGTCTTTTAATGTGTAATTTCTTTAGCTTTACATGATGTCGTTTTGAATGTCTGTACCATACTCAAAAAATCAAATAATATTCATGCTGCAGTTATTTTCCCTGTTATGACTTGTGCATTCTGGATGTGCATGAGAAGTGAAAGTAACACTGGAATAGATTATTTTAAATTACATAAAGTTAATTAGCATGAATAAAGAAAATGAAAACTAAACTTCTATTTTATTTTTTTTTAACTTGTTCCTTTTGGTAACAGATAGAGTCTTATTTTAAAATACTTCCTGTGTTTCTTTTGTTGCTTCTAAAATCAAAACAAAAATGAGTAGCAGATCACCATGAGGTCTGAATCTTTTCCTGGAGAATTCCCAGGGGGTAACTGTCAATTAAGCTATGATTCCAGAAAGATGGAGGAAGTCTGAACGTTTCCATTGCTTGTTGTGTTGGTGTTATCAGGAGTTCTGATCTCTGAGCATAACAAGTAAAGCCTCTTCCAGTTTTGATACTTGCTCATAAATGGTAATGTAAGGATTTCTGGCAGGTTAATAGGCAGGAAGAGGGACTGTGGATATAAATCCCCTACACCAAGCACAGCAGGGAATTGAAAGTAATCATTCTTTTGGCACCTGTCATCTCAGCATCACACAAGAGTATATCCCAAATGGTTTTTACAATCATCTTTCCTTGGCAGAGAAAGCTGGGCAGCAAAAGAAGTCATGGTGCAATTACCACTTCACAAAAGGGGACCGCTTGCATTGCAGAAATTCACCTAATTGATTGTGAGGTTTTCAGGGTATGAGTGAGGATACAGCGTGTGGGAGCATAGCCACCAACATCAGTGTGATCAGAGCTTCTTAGCTGCGTGTGGGATTGTACCTGGTTGCCTTTGTACACACTTGTTTATGTATCTTTATTCCTGCCTGCTTTAAACACACTTGTAGCCTCTTTGTCCAGCTTCTAGCTCTTGGAGTTGTGATCACATAGCCTTCATTTCTAGATGACACCAAGGGCCATCCAGCCTATCGAACTGTGTTCTAATTACTAATTAGACTAATTACTTAAGGGAAGAGAATAGGAAATAGGCTGTGTATAGGATGATCTTTCTCCTTTTACTTGTTAGCTTCTAGTGGTGGTCTAGCAGGATTTCCTTAATTGGATGTTGCCCCTGGATTATCAATATTTTTATAATGCAGTGATGAATTTGACAAATTTATTTGGTTTGGTTTTGTTTTGGGTTTTTTTTTTGTTTGTTTTGTTGTTGTTGCTTACTGTCTCTGACATTCACATCATTGTGGTGTTGGAAGAGGACACTTCCTTTTGTCTTTATTTTTAATCTTGCCACCTGGTAGTTTAATCAGGTTCTATTACATTCTATTAGTTCCTATGAGGATATGAAAGAAAGCTGTCATTAAAGTGCTGAGTATAAACATTGTCAGTATAAATGATCTAACTGTGAACTCTTTACACTGGATTTCATGATTGACCTTACCTATTTGCTTCTAAAATAATGGAACTGATACATTCCAAATTGATCTCAAAACTGGTTTTTTGTCTTCCCCTTAACTCAAAATTACATGGATTTGGAGAGAAATTGCTGCTATTTTCTATTAAGGTGTTCAGAAAGAGCTAGCATGCCAGTTTATTGAGCTGTTCTTAATCCTACTTTGACATAGTCTACCAAGGATTAAGTACACTTCAAGTTCATGTTGCCAGGAAAGCTTTTACTTTAGAAATTTTAGTCTATATAGATTTTAAATAGCCTTTTCCTACCTTAAATTGATTTTAAAATTGGCTTGTGAGTTTGTAATCTTTTTTTGCACTGTACCTAGTGGGTGATGGTCACATACCTGGCAAGTATTTGTGAGAAGGGATTGTGTGTACATTGTAATGGACTTCTCAGCTGAGAATGTGTTCCCTTGGGGTACAATGGTATATACAGGTTCCATAGTGTGTAGCTAGCAGCAATCTCCTTTGAACTTGCAAGGTGCTGCAAATGCTTTCTTGCTGGAAGATGATAAATTCCCAGTAGCAGATAGGAACCCATTAAAGTATATATGCAGTCTCCTAAATTCACTGTGAGAAGCTGTAATGCTCAGCTCTTAAAGGCAACTTCAAATTGTGATATTACTGATATTTTAAGTACGGTAATATTGTTTGATGTCTACAGTATAAACTTTCCTTGATGTTCCAAAAGCAGATTTGAAGATTCTAGGAGCCTAGAAGCTATGTTTTTTTGGCCACAGCCAAGATAATTAAATTGATCCATTCTGATGCACCCATAGTTGAAAATAATAGAAGGGGAAAAAATGAAAGGAGCTGTCACAGGGTAGAGTGATAAGAGGCTGCAGTTTATACAGAAGCATTTTAAAGGGTGGCTGTGGGAGGCAATCTCTAAATTATATGTATGGAGAAATAAAGCAAAAGTACTTTGAAATACTCTTACAAGGTTTTTGGATGGTTTCAGGAGCAGGCTAAACACTGATTTGAAAATTCACATTTTTATTTTAAGTAAAATAACATCTTTCACAGGTATCTTGTGCAGCAAGCTAAGTTGCTGCTGTTTTAAAATCAATGTTTTGATTGCACATCTGGTGAAATTGTTGATACAAAACCAGTAAATTAAAAAAGACACCTGAGTTTAAAGTTTGGATTTTTAGTTATATCCAGTATGCTGCATTTTGGGTTTGGGTTTTTTTTTCTTTTCCCCACTTCATTACTGTTTTCCATTTTAGGAAGCTGAGCAAGCAAGAACAGATTACTTCATTAGAACGTTGTTACTTGAATTTCAAAATGTAAGTATATGATCACTTCTGGTTTCAATTCTAATGGTTGCTCAAAGGTCTCTAAAATGATATAGTGGAGGAAACTCATGAAAATATCTTCACGTTTTTAGGTGCTGACTCTGTCTGTAAATCACCAAGTTCAGAAGTGATGTTAAAAGCTTAGTATGTAAGAAAAGAGTAGTGAAACTCTCTACTTGTCTGTTGTGCCTCTTGGTTAGCCAGAGGTGTGTGATGGTCTTCAATAGCATGTATTAACAACTAGAAAGCTTCTGTCACCCTAGGAGAATTTCACTGCTTACTCCCACTGAAAATATGATGACAAACTGAATCAAACTTGTCAAAAAAACTTGTTTCCTCTAGTTTGCTTCTTTTTGGGTAAAGTATGTGTACTTGTTAGAATTTGCCCTATACTTTCATTTATTGCCAAGAGGGTTTTTCAATGTTAAAAGATATTTTTGATGCCCGTTCATATACTTGTATCGCCTAATAAAAATAAAGCAAGAACAGCAACAACTTAGTGATTTATTTTTTCCCCAAAGTTTCTCACTTTAGCTTGTAGAAAGTTTTGTTTGGTTTGTTTTTTTTTTTTTTTTAATTGTAATAGATATGAAAAATGTAGAATGTTCTCGATTAAATTGAGTTGTGTTCTCTTTTTGCTTGGAGAACTTAGCTTGGGGCAGTTGTATGTAATATATTCAAGAGTCAAGATAAAAATACACTGTTAATAGTGAGCTCAAGAGTTTTTGGAATTCTTGAAAATTCTTTATGGAAGAAATGGAGATTATTAATCTTAGTGAAAACTTATGACACTTAGTAGTAGTAAAAACTTATGTAGTAAAACATGAGACCTACTTCATAAACTGAGTATTATGTTAATTGTGAAAATTGTCATGTTTCCAGTGAAATAAAAGTTCTTGCATTCTTATATAAGTGTTAGGAATGAATAATTTAAGGCTTTCCTGCAAATTTATACTGAACTGTCAGATTTGAGGTGACTGTTTTTCTGAAAAGCAACTGTCACTAAATAAAAACAAGTGTAGAGCTGTTCTGCAAAAACATGAAGGTTGACAGTTTATTTTACAGAATACCTGTAATTTTAGTTGTCATCCTGTGTTAATAAATGATTTATTACAGGTTAGTCTCACCTATGGTTATGTTTTCTTTAGCAATGCTTTGTTCCATTTCAACAACTGATATCACGATAGTTATGAAAACTGTTTAATCAAGAGGAGGATAGTCTCGGGGGGGTAATTTTTGTCAGCAGTAACTTGCTAGGTGCTTGCAGTGGGATGCACAAACTTAATCAGTTCATTTCCGTTAGTGTGTCCTCGATGTTTATAACTGACTGTACTATGAAACTTTTTAGATAGCAGAAATTGACTGCATAACAACTGTGGGGTTTGCAGCATTTTTTTAAGTGATGCATTTAAAAACAGAACTTAAAAGATATCAAAACCCCCAAAACAGAACCTAATTACTCTTAATACCTGAATATCATGAGAATTGGTTACTTCAGAAACTGCAGCTAATTTATATTTTGCTTGCACATACTATATATGCAAATCATGTGTAGCTACTTGACTTCCATGAGTTCTGTTCCAGGTGATTTTTACAGGATGCCTGTGTACTACATAAAGACCAAGCAGTAACTAAAAGCTATGGTTTGTGCTATGCTTTTGATCTTGGCAAAGAGCCTAAAGTTTACATTCCTTTAAGGAGTAATGCAACTGAAAGGATTAACAAAATCTGTTGATACTTCATCTATGCATCCAATAAAGTGATCTTTCTTCAGACTTAGTTAGCAAATTTGCTTCTGGATTTCTGTGAGCACACATTTTGGTCATGAATTACAAACTTTTCATCTTTGAATATTTCTTAGTGTAGCCTTGAACTGGGAAGGAAAATATGTATTTGTGATAATACCCTTTTAAGTTCATAATAATATGATTTTAGATGTAGTAATATCCTTCCAAGTTAATTTTCTGATTTTCTAGAATAATGGAAAACTTTGTCATTTCTGTAAAATTTTCAATAGAGTATTGTCCTGGTTTTGCTGCACCACAAGTATCATAAAAAATAGTATGCAAAAGAATTTACAATTCATACAAATATACAAAGTTGTTCTAGTTTCTAGGAGGAAAACCAGTTTGACTGAAACTTGAAGGTTATTTTAAGCTAAACTACCAGATTCTTTCTTAAAATGTGGCAGTAAAAAAAACAGTTATGAGAATTCCTTTTCATTTTTAATTTCCATATAAAAAGCATAAATTCAGATTTTTTTTTTTCTGACAGATCTGCTAATCAGTTCTTTTGTCTCTTTAAATGTAATTAAATTGTTGGGACCTTAATAGGCAGCTGCAAATTTTCTTCCTCCTTACTGATGACGTTGGTTTTTACATAATCAGTTGAATTTTTAGAACTTCTTTTCTTAGGCTGGATTTTCTTTTGTTTTTGCTAGCTACAGGGCTTCCACAGGTCTGGCAGAAGTAAAGCATCGAAAGTAGTTGGTTCAGTTGGAAGACGATATACATTTCCATGCTCAAGAGGCCCACTATCTTACTTCTCAAATAACTAAGCAGAAGGTAGCACAGGTCTTAAAACTTGTAACCTGCAACGTTGATCAAAAAATGCACACACCTCTCTAGTACATTACTTTGAAAGTATACTATAATCCAGAGCTGTGACAACAGCATGGAAAGGTGCAGTAGGTGTGGATGGTTTGGATACTGATGAGAAAGAGGATTTGGTCTTTCAGGGATTCGAGGAGCTGAGTAACTAGGGTGTTCTAAAGCCTGCTTCTTACTTTGTCTTTAGTACTATTGTAACACGAGCTAACTAGAATAAAAGTGTGCCTATTGTTGTTGCAAGTGTGACCTATATTTAGATATGGCTTGAAATATTTCTCTTATTTTCTTAATTTCCCTTTGCATATGCACACATATGCACATGCACAGTTTATTCTGTAATGTGACAAAACATGCACCACCTCCATTTTTTTTCCAATGTAAGTTACTGGAGTATGATTGGAAAAAGAACCTTTCTTTCTCCCTTTCAAAGTTTAAGAACGTAAGGGCAGAGAATCTTGTCACACAGTGCAATGTTGTGGGACCTTTAACCCATACATTATAGAGAGGGGCTTCTGTGAACTGTCCATAGGGCTTGCTCCTATGCATTAGCAGCACTCAAAATATAACTTCAGAATTTCCCTTTTGTTTTTCTAAGTGGTATAAGCTCTAGGGTTTTTTTAATACTGTAAATGGCTTTACTTGTCTGTGCTTAATCATGCAAAAAGTGAAGGTTCATAGAACTAATTATTTCATACAAACTCCATATATTATCGTTAACACCTTTCTTCTTCCCTCTCCCTTAGGAGACTCGTAGTGTCTATCAGTTTCATTATGTTAACTGGCCTGATCATGATGTCCCTTCATCTTTTGATTCTATTCTGGACATGATCAGCTTGATGAGAGAATACCAGGAACATGAAGATGTACCAATTTGCATACACTGCAGGTATCAAATATATTTATTTTTTAACTTTATGTATATTTTAATTTTTTCAAAGTCTAGACTTTTGTTATGAGATGCACTAGTTTGATTCTAAATCAAAATTTATTTATTTTAGTTTTCAAAATCGGAATACTTCCTCATGTCAAAACTTGGCTCAAAATCGTACAGCCTTCATTGTCTTAAAACTCATGCCACAGTGACATTATGCTTCTCTTTCAGTTTAAGACAGAATACCAATCATAAAAGAATTAGTCATTGAAAGGGAAACTGTTTTGTTTTTCCTTAAGATGTTTAAATTCTCATTAAGACAAAACAGATTTTGAAGATCATTGCAAATCAGATATGGGAGCAAAGGCTCCATTCTCAGTAGGAGACACTGCATACCAGGTGCATCACTACCTAAGAACTTTTCTCTCTCTCTTCGAATGGGACAAAAAAGATCTCTAACCAGCAGGCTGTAGTTTCTGGTTGGTAAGTCTTTGCATCTGAGCAGCAGTTTCATCTTTAACATGAAATTTGGCTAACAGAAGGACTGTTGAAACTAAACTGCCGTGAAAGTGTTTTGGTGAATTGACAGTTTGACACTTTCTCTGGGAAGCTCTTGCCTATGATATTTGATAGTTTTTAAAGCAAGAAAAATTAATGTATTATATGTCAGAAAAACTGAATTTCGATTCATAAGCCAGGAAATGTTCAATCGTTAGGGCTTATTAACTCTTTAGAGATTAGTTATTCTCTTAAAGTGTTCAGAAATCTACTGTCTTTAGCTGCATTCTTTTTTAACTTGTCACTCAAAGTAGTTAAGGTCTAAAACCATAAAATACTTAGCACTGAAATCCCTTTCACTTTGTCCTTTTTCTCTTGAATGTCAATACAGTTATGAAGGTTGGTTCTTTACAACAGTATAATTCTAACATAATAAATATGCATATCTTATAACTCTTTATGTGTAAAATAGAGAAATTCATATTATTAGGAAGAATAAATGTGATAGTTCACTGTCATTTTTTATAACTTGCAGATTTAAGTTTTTTAGATAAAAAGAAGAAAATACAGATATGATACTAAATCAGGAAAATGTGGGAAGAGTTTAAACATATTCTGTTTTACCCTTTAACATATCTATCATTAAACCTGGACAAAATCCCTGCTGTTGCAGCAGTAGTAACTAGGAATAGTGTGAGGAAAGAGGCAATAAAAATATCAGCATTGAAGCATCTTTCACGATTGCAGTTCCAATTGGCTGTGAAAGACTTGCATTAAAAACTTCAGTGCTCCATTTTGCACTGCTGGTTTTTATTATTATTTTTAAGACACTGTAGTGTCAGGTTGAATGAGCTTAAAATGATAGTTGGGGGATTTTGATTTTTTTGTTTGTTTGTTTTTTTTTTCCCCCCACATGGACTCTGGAAATATAAAGCTCATACTGTGTTCTAAACAAATTAAAATAATTTTTAATACACCTAACTGTTTATGTTCATAGTGCAGGGTGTGGAAGAACAGGAGCCATCTGTGCCATAGATTATACGTGGAATTTGCTTAAAGCTGGGGTAAGGAATCTTAAAAGAAGAAATTTGTGCCATTCCATCATTTCGTAACTGATTGAGTTCACAAATGTTCTAAAATAGTGAAATGTTTAAGATATTTCGGAACTCTTTTGACGGGTTGGATGTTTAGTTTAATTGCATTCATGCTTTAGTAAGAACTTACTTTGACAGCAAGTTTTTATCTAAAAAAAGTCACTGTAAAATCCTAAATATTTTTAAAAATATATTTCAATATAAAGTGATTTTGAACTCAGCTTCTTCAGTGTCTCTGCTTAATCTTGCAGCTCCTAAAGCCTGATATTTCAAATACACAAGGATAACTTCCTTCTGGGGTTTTTAGGTTATGAAGCATCATTAATGTTGCAGTGTAATATTAATGCTTTCATTGCATCTCATTTTCAGAATACTTGAAATGCTCTCATCTGGTCTAAATCAAATGTTTAAATCCAGTTTTGGAGAGGAATTGCTTTTTAAAACAAAAAAAAAAAAAATTGAACGGCTGCAATATTGAGAGAACAGAATGGCTTTACCTACACAAGTTAAACGTACTTTTGGATTTCTAACAGCTTTTGTATTGCTGATCTGACAGTTGTGTCAATGTAATTGACTTCCTTCTATATTTCAGAAAATACCTGAAGAATTCAATGTATTTAATTTAATACAGGAAATGAGGACACAAAGGCATTCTGCAGTCCAGACAAAGGTATAGTTTGGTTTTTAAAATTAATCTTTATCATATGATAATATACAACCATTCTTTGTAAAGATCTCGTGCACTAATTTTATTCTGGTACCCTACTACAGGAGCAGTATGAACTTGTCCATCGAGCCATAGCACAACTGTTTGAAAAGCAACTGCAAAAATACGAAAGTTGTGCAGACTGGAAGATTGCGGACGGAGTGGTACGTGTCTCTCCCATATGAGTTTCAATCAGTTATAGCTCTTAGCTTCTGATCAGGATTTTCCTGAGAAGTATAAGGATGTTAAAGCATGTACAGAATTGTTTGGTCTACAAGTGATTTTTGCTGAGTAGGGACAGCTAGCCTGTACTCAGCTTACGCTGAGGAGTTGGTTGTAGAAGTTGTCAGATGTTTAAAGGAATATTTATCACGTATACCAAAGGCAATCGCAATGGGGGAAGCAATAGAAAGGATTCTAGTATGGATGAAATGCAGGACTCTTACTCAATATTAAATTGCAATATGTGCCCTTACCTTGGTGAGGTGGTAGTAGTTGAGTGCTGATCTGTTGCTTTGGTTGGCAGTACTTACCCCAATTCTGATGTATTGTCAGCAAATGACATTTTGGCTAAGCCTGACCTTCTGCAAATTACTTGTTAAACGGTATCATAAAGAGCAAGTTAAAAATAAAACTCCAGCCTACGTGTACGTATATTTATATATTTTAAAAATACATAAATACACATGTGTATGTGTATATAGATGAATTCTATCTGATCTATGTCTAGGTTAAAACCTTGTTTTCTATTCATCCCCAATTTTAAACCAGTAGATAAGCATTGACCCGACTCTTCAACTGCGACTTGGATATTACATGCTGTTGCACGCTGCCTCAGTCCTGGCCCAACGCAGCCTCAGCAGGACTGGCAATGAATGATCTTATTAAGTTCCCATATTGTGTTGAATTACTGTTTGCAGTGGAACAGATTGGGGGAAAGAAAAATAACTTAAAAATGCCTTTGTCAGGAAGCTTCACACTCTACCCTTTTTAAAAAGGGAAGAAAAAAAACTTGGAAAAATAATATTCTTAATTGGTAATCACAGTATTTGAGGATTTTTCTGTCTGTCTTTCCTTCCACTTTAAATTTCATGCCCCCTAGGTTTTTTCCCTTTTTTTTTATGTTTGGGTATGTTTTCTTGGCTAGTACTGGGCAGTATGTGAAAAATGGCTTTTTAGATCAATATATTCTTTTCAGTCCAGAATGAGTACCCCCCTTTATCCTTGGATTGTGTTTTGTTTATTCAGTAATTTTATCTGTCCCTTCAGTACCTAATTGTTGTAGGCTCTATAGCTCTCTAGAGGGAGTATGAGTAGTATCTTCAGGACTCTTTGAAATACCTGGAAGCAATTCTTAATCTGTCTTTATTAATAACCATCCCTTTAATTTTAGAAGTTGTGCTTTCTAGGAAGTCTGAAATATTTTTCTTTCTTGGAAAAAAAAAACATATATCCTTCTGTTAACTCATAAGAACTTATATGTATATATATGCAATAGTTCTGAGGTCTTTAGTCATGGTACGAAGCCTGATGGACTAAATTCAATATGGATAGGGAAGGCTGTTTTAGTTTGTTATAGGTTTGATATTCAGCCTAGCTGATCTGTGAATTTTTGTTTTATTTCTGAGAAATGAGCATGATAACGCTTAGAATGTGCAGACTTATTAGCTTTGTACAGAAGTGATTCCTAATTACTTGAGTTTTGGTCATTAAATAATAGGCAGATGAGTCTACTGTATCTTCTGGTTATTGGACTTTGATCTGACCTGTGTCTACCCTCTTACATAGAACCAAAAATGTCTCTTATTATTTACATGTATTCCAGACCATCTGAATGAGGAGGTCACACAGTATGCTGATACTATGCCTGTAACAAAGGCAGGTGCGGTCTGTAGCACATCTTATGAGATTTGACTGATTGAGTAATAAAGCAAGAGCAAATAGATTATGGATAGGTGATGTGCATGGGGGTGAGACAGGGAGAAATCCCAACTCTGAGTGTGAGTTTTGAGTTTTGCTTGGATGTGATCTTGGTTATAATCAAGAAGTTGTAAAGGAAATTGAATTTTAGCAATTATTTGGAAACTGCTAAGAGCAGAGAATGTAATGTCATGATACAGGTACCTTGCAACTTGAATACTGTCTGCAGGTCTGGTCTGCTAATGTCAAAAGTATATTACAGAATTCAAACCTTAACGATTTGAACAAGGATCAAAGGTGTCAAAACACTCCATCTAAAGAACAACCAGGTTGAGCTGGAAAAGAAATGGCTGAAGCTGGATATGAGAGAGGCTAAGTAACAGTGAAAAGCTGATTTCTATTAACCTTTTCTAAAGGGCATCAATGAGACATGGCAGACTTAATACATAGTTGTTCATGCAACATGAAACTGCAGAGCTCCTTGCAGCTGAAAGGCTGGAGCTTTGAGGTTCGTATCTCATCATCTTGGAGTCTCCTTCTGTGAATTTGCCCATCCTCTGACCTCTGAAATGCAGAGTTCAAAACTGTTGGAGAACATCCTAGGGAAGGATCCCTGCCTGCCTGCTCTGTCCTTATTCTCCCCTGTAAGTTTTGTGTTGGTCACTACTGGAAACAGGGCAAAATGAATCTTTCAGTCTGACTAGGTACAGCCTCTTTTGCATTTGATACATTTTTTTTTTTTTTGCATTTTGCAAATGATACTTCTTCATATTGTAGCTTGAACTTTTCTGCAGGAGTGTTGAGGAAAAAAGTCCCATAGTTAAAGAGTTCCCATATCTAAAAAATTTGGTGCTTAAAACCAAATTTTCTACTATTCATTTGTTTGTTAGGAAATTTGCCTTCAAGGAATTAACTGGTGTAGGCTTACTTCTGTTTTGGTTTTATAAGGTAGTTTTCTACCTCACATATCTGGTTAAATATCTGTTTGTGGCTTTAACTTGATTCTCAAAACTTTGAGGTTTACTTGAGACAGTGTTTTTGCTATTCTGAAAAAGCTCCTTTTTTTCCTCCAAGGGTGTTATGTTGTCTATAACAAATGGTTTTCCCCAGAAATGTTCTAGTTAGTTTTTTAACTAAGGTACATCCCTGAGTATTTGTTTGGTTTTTAGAAGGAAATACACTCTGATGCAGAAAGTTTTCAAATAACTTTATTAAATATAATGTAATATCATGAAGTTCCTTCCCAGGTCTTAATCTGACTGCAGATGCTACAGCAACTGTGGAATCATGTACATGTGAAGGGTTGTATGTATGTTCAGTGGAAACAGTTGCAAATAAGATAATGTGCCTATTTTGGCTATATTACTGTTGGTTATATAGGAGATACTACTGGACTGAAGAGGAAATCTTTCATCTGTCAATTATTATATTTTGATAGTACTCTGAAGAGTTGGAGTACTCTGTAGGGCTGGTTTCAAGGTTTTATTGTCCAATTGCTTTTCCTGTTTCAGGCAGTGTTTGAAATGAATTGAGTTACCTAAGCTTTGTAAGCACTGTTTGCCAGTAACACCACGGTTAAAAGCTAATCTGATTGGCAGCGAGGAAGGGAAGTAGCTCAGACACAATCCTGAACGTGTGTTCCTGTGAACTTGCCAACTTTGCCCCACTGGAAACAACACTGTAAAAAGTCAACAAAAAAACACATGCAGCATTTGGAAATGGACCTATAATAGGGTTAGAATTTCTATTAAAATTTGATAGAAGGATTCAAAACCATGTAGAAAAGGCACATGTAGTACTTGTATACTCTGACTGTACAGTTACACACATTGGGAATTTACTATGAATGTGCTTAAATACTAAGTATGTAAGTGAAATTATATGAAGAAAAGCTCTCTCCAGGTACCAGGTAGAGTACTTTAAACAGTCCCAATACTAGCCAAATTTCAGGGCAAAGATAAAATTGCTACTCAGAAGCAAATTTTTTTCCTGATAAGAAAAGAATTGGGTGCTAAATTTCCTAATTAGAATTATTTTTCTACACCCTCCTCCCCCTGTAGTAGGACTCAAATAATCAAACAATTAAACTGGAACTGAGTCTTGAACTCAAACCCCTTCCTACTGGAACTCTTGTTGTCTTGTTGTCATGTATTTGAAGTCTAACTGCATGCTCTCACCATCACTGGTTTTTTTAGTACTGCTGTGAAAATATTACACTTGGTTTTGTGTTTGGGGGCTTTGAAACATATGTAAGCTGATTAGTCTTGATTATCTGATATCAGTCAGATTTGTATCAGTAGAATATTTTGTGAGTTACTTGAGAGGCATCTCCATGATCTGATGTGAACCATGGCTGTTTTGGAAGGTCTGAGTCAGGTGGAATTCTGTCAGGCTGGATGTTCTGTGGGTAGGAAAAGGAAAATAGATTAAAAGATGCAAGACAAAGTTTGCTTTCTCTTCAAAAATATTTGTTGTTGAATTTTGTCTCTTGACAGTAACAAGCATGTCACAGTACTGCAAGTCCTTTTTTATCCTTTTTCACTAAAGAAGCTTGTATTAATAAGCACTTTCTCCAAAATATGGCATTGCTAGTACTCTCAAGTATCTCTTGTATTTCTTCCTGTAAAAGTGACAGAATTCTATTGCTGTGGTTGATTGCACTTTTAGAGTGGAGAAATCAGCTTCTATAAGAAGAATGGTGATATTCAAAACATCAGTGGTTTGGAAACTCTTAAGTGAAAAGAGTGAGATCAAATTCTCTTTGCTGTTTTGCAGCTTGGAAGGAGATTTTTGGCCATTGGAACATTCTAAAAAATCATATATGTCTTCAGAGACATTTATCTTATTGTCTATGCTTGGAAAGTTTTCTTTAATCTGAGTCATTTGAGTGTACCATTTCAATCTGAAATATTTCTCTTTTTATCTACTGATGCTTTGTGGTTCCCATGCTGCTTTATGATAAGGGTGAAAGGAATGCCTCAATCCCTTTTAAGGGAAACCACGCGATTGCTTCTGGAAGAGTCTTTGCAGTAAATTTGCTAGTACTTTACTGGTACAGAAAGCTTCTGAATGACATTAAATGTTTCCAGTGTGAGTTCCAAAAGAAAATTATGCATTGCAGTTGCTGGGCAAAAGGTTTTGAATTGCAGACAATGCCAGTGAAATCTCAGTGAAAAACTGTGATCCTGTATTTGCTCAAAGTTTAGTCACAGCTCTGTTTGGTGGCTCGGCTGTTGGGGGAAGT